TACGGTGATTATTGATTGGTCGAATCTGTACAACAAATTTTTACGATTCATATTTTTTTTTCGTTTATATTTCCTATTAAGAATTTTTATCAATGTTCATAATAACGTGTAAGTATACAAAATAAGAAAATTAATTAATCGTAATATTTGACGTTTATTTTATCGCAGAAATGTATCTTTTACCTTGTACCATTCTATATGTACGATTAAGACGAACCAATCAGTGATCGTATTATTTTAAAGAGCACAAGTTTATCAAACGCGTTCCAGAGAGCGGGTCACCTGCATGTTATTACTACATATAAAATTATTTGTATATGTAAATCTGGATAATAGATATTGTATTTGTATATTTGTATGTAAGTATTGAATTTAGTCGTGTCTCTCGTACGTTTTTCTTAATGTTCTTAGAAGAAAGACGCAAAACAAGATGATTAAGATTTTCATTTAATTCGATAAATGAGATAATGAAATAGTAAATATATATATATATATATATATATAAACGCGATAATAATATATTAGAAAATGGGAAAGTTAGGAAAGGATATCGCATTGTTAAATCGTAATAATAAAAAAAAAATTGGTGATTACAAGAAACAAGAGATAAAGCCTAAAAGAAAGAAACGCAAGAAGGATCTTGAAAAATTGCATCGAAATGCTTTGGAAGCGTCAAAAGATTCGGTAGGTAAATTATAAAATACATTTCTCTATTTGAAGTTATTTCAAATATCAAAAGCGTATACGATACTTTGTCTTTTATAAAAAAAAAAAATTAATAAGAAAAACATTAAAACTTGATAGCTTAAGGATGAAAACTTCTGTCCCTTATTACTACGAAAGTTTATATATATATATATATATATATATATATATATATATATATATGTATGTATATATGTATATATGTAATAATAAAATATTTGTTCGATTCCTATTAAAAATACAAAAGTGTAATATTTAACAAATTATTTTTAATAATATTTAACAAATAATAATTTCTTTTCTATTTTGTATTATCACTGGTTTATTCTTTTTATTTTTTTTTTCTTTTATTTTCTTCTTTAAACGATTACGTTATTGATAACGATTAAATAAAAAAATCACGTTTACACAAAATACCAATATGAATACAGTAAACAATGATATTCGATTGTAATTATGTATATTCCGATCTCGATCTATTCATTTTCAACATACGTCGAATTTCTACTTCTTTTCTCTATTTGCGTATTATACATCGTTTACATACAACATGTATATAAATTATATGTTTGTCTCAGAATATAAATAGAAGAAGAGAAAAAAAGAAATTAATTCGAAATGGCGCTATCGTGAATTATTTCGATTTAGATATATATATATATATATATATATATATATATATATATATATATATATATATATCTTTTATTATTATTTCCATGTAGATATAAAAAGAAAAAAAAATGCTTTTCTTTCTTAATGAATTATAATTACTTTCAATCACATTTTATAATTTTAATCAAACTACACGTAAATAATCAACATCGAAAAGATATAAGAATATAATAATATAGTCGAAAATATGTTAATAATATATTATATGTATTATCTTTGTCTTTGACGCAGTTAATCGGGATTTACAGAAACGGAGCAAAGGGCAAAGAAGTAAGAAAAGGTATGTGCTTTTATGTGTGTATGCGTGCGAGCGCGCGCGCGTGTATATGTGCGCGCGCGGTGTGCGTATATGTGTGTATATACAATTTAAATGTTTACTAAATTAATTAATATAAAATATTAAATAAATTAATGACATTGATGATCGATTTCAGGAAAATTAACTTCGAATAAATTTTATAAAGCACGAGTACAAGGAGAGATAGCGAAATTTTTAGATCAAGACTCATCAGAAAGATCCGAAGATGTACTCGAGTACGTTTTTCATTTCTAACGTGATATATAACATAGCTATACAGTTATGTATATATATATATATATATATATATGTATGTATACGTGCGCGCGCGTGTGTGTGCGTGTATGCTGTCGGCTTTTCTTTTTTATATTTGACCTATATAATTCGATCCTCTTTTAGTACGAGAAATACATATATACATATCCTATATATATATATATATATATATATATATATATATATATATATATATATAGATGTGTGTATATAGATATACATAAACGAGACAAATTTAACAAGATTATAGTTCCTCTAGAAATTTTTTTTTAAATTCATACAACGATTTAGTTTGCAGTTTTATGCATTCTACGTAATCTTTTTTTGATCCTTTTTTTGATCCGTTTTTCCTCTTTTTCTATTTCTTTTCTTTTCTTTTCTTCTCTTTTCTTCTTTCATTTCTTTTTTTCAGACTTTCACCTAATACCGTACGAGTCAATTGTAATAAAAAAGATAGACTATTCGAAAGGATTGTCTCGTCGGACGAAGAAATACAATGTCAAAAAAGAATTTCAAAGGGTCAGTTGAGAGAAAATTCGAGAAAATTTTCATGGTCCGCGATGTATCGTTACGAAGAATTATGTGCGATTATTTGTTCGGAAAATTTTGACGATCAGAATACGACGATTCTTCCAGATTTGCCAGGTAATTATTAAATTCATTGTTACGTCATGCGAATTATTATTTTTCTTTTTTCTTTTCTCCTCTTTTCTTTTTTTATTTTATTTTATTTTATTTTATTTTATTTTATTTTTTTTTTTTTTTTTTTACTTTTTTTTTAATACAAATTTAATTTAATTCACTATAAGAATATGATATAGGTGGCCCAAAAAATGTTTTCAGATCCAATTCTAAAAGTTAAAGAAAATCTTAAACATATGCACGCGGATGCTATGAGACAACATTTTTCACGACCGGATGTTAATATTAACGATTATTTCGATGATTTAAAAAATGAAAATACATTTAAATCCCCAATAAATGGAAACGATAATAAAAATCTATTAAATATACAATCAGAATCTTATATATCTTCCGATCATTCGGAATCATTAACGGCCGACATTGTTGAGGATTCGCATTTTGAAATTTCGCCAAAATTTCATCGTGAAGTCGATAATAAAACGCAACTAAATAATATTCTATTTTCTGTACCGAAGAAAGTGTCTAAAGACGTTAAGAAGATGAACGTTGATCGTTCATCTAAATTCCATTTACCATCTGAATTGTTTGATCGACCTATTTCTACGATCACTTCTTCGACGGACGATGAAAATAAAAAAGAAATTAATTGTCAAAGATGCGCGAAACGTAATCTAAATAATGTCAAACGTAACGTAAAGTTTGAAGATGATGATGAATTTCTAATTAAAAATAATCAAAAATATCAAATATATCAACATAGAGAAAGTAATGATAGAAAAGATACACCAGAGTATGAAGAAGATGATAATTGTCTATTTATCAGCAAATCTACTAAAGCAAATATACCGGTAGATAATTATTGTATAGAGAGACAAAAATTCATTGAAGATTTTGTAAAAGATCGTAGAAGAAGACATAGGATACGGGAATCTAACAATATACACGAGGGAGATATATGTACGAATCTAAATGATCGTACGATGGTATGGAAAGCCACTAAAAATTTGAAACACGTACCAGCAATTCTTCGAAGATCCGTTTGTGATCCGACAAATATAACCGACCTTACTCATCTTTTGAATGGTAAATGTAGCGGCGCATATTTTAAAGAACCATCAAAAAGAAATCTCGACTCTAATCTCAATATTTGTTCGTCGTTATCATCGAACGATAATTCAATAATTAAAACTCAATTTGCTAAATCAAATAAATGTCTTGATAATCGACGTCATACAATGCCATTAAAGGAACAATCTTCATCTACGGATCAGACAGTAGACTTTTGTATACCCATTGAAATGAATATTAAAAAAAATAAGAACAAAGTGAATCTAAATAAAGATCCAATAAAATCTCGCAAAACACATAAATCCGTGACATTTTCAAAAGGTATATTACTTAATGGCGATGCATCGATGCAATCGCATTATTCTCAAGATCACGATAAAACGCAACCTACGGGTGTTCATCGAACAACGGACATCAATCATTCTAAACATTGTCAAATTTTAAGACAGGAAATACAGAATGATAATCAATCTTTATTACTGAAGTCGACGAAACCTGATCGAATATATCAACCCGAAGTAACATTTATAAATCCGTCACAATGCGACAAATATATTACGACACAAAATTGTCAGGATAACAATGAGAGTAAACCCATTTATTTTCAAATTATAAATCAATCGATGAAATCCTCTACTGAACAAAAATTATTTAATCAAGATTTAATAACAAAATCTAATAATTTGACCGCGTATGAACAAACGCTATCTGGTCAATCTATGATACAGCAATCTGATGTTCCTATTACGTCGCAAAATGTTCAATTTATGTTCCGTGAAAATGATCCACATATATATGCATTTAGTGAGCTACAGAATCTTAAATTATTAACATTGAACGACTCACAAAACACATATGTCAGTTCCTTAAATTCTGTACACGAACAAAAACGAGCTAATGAGTGCGCAATAATTTCAAACACTGACCAACCAACGAAATATTTGGCCATTGAAAAAGATCTAAACACACAGAGAATCCCTATTTATTTTCATAATAACGATAAATCTATTAGTCAACAATATATGCCTTGCAAAGTAATTACGGCTGTAGAGAAGCAAAATAATGATAAGCTCTTCTTTCACGAGCCTACCTCGCAGGTTATACTTTTACAAGGAAATCATTTAAATGATAGAAATCGTCAATTCGTTGATTAAAATAATAAACATCTTATCGAAAATATCGAGAGATTATTTAAAAGATTAGTAATGTATATATTGAAATATTTGGAATCTCGATAAATATTATTAATTTTGTTCAAAAAAAAAAAAATCATTAAAATGCAAAAAAGAAAAAAATTTAGTTTATATTGTAAGATGAGGTTATTATTCAATAGGAAAAAAAAAAAAAAAAAAAAAAAAAAAAAGGAAGAACAAAAATGTATTTAAAAATATTTCGATTGCATGAGGCACATATACGAAATTATCAGTTATTACTATTATTGTTATTTACATGTCAAATTCTATGATGATTGATCAAAGTATATTTTCGTACTTTTCTTTTCTTTTTTTTTTTTTTTTTTCTTTGGAATTTTTTTATCGATTCTTATTTATATAAGTACAAAAACAACAAAAAATTGAATATTTTCTATTAACAATATTAAATTTGTAAAAATGTCGTTAATTCTTTAGTTATTATTTAAATCAATTCAAGTTAGATTGAAAAATGAATATTTTGTGATTGTTAACACTGCATTATGTTTGTATATTATTTACGAACGATGTACAGTATTTAAGTAAAAACTATTAATTTATTTGCCAATCAAAATATTATAATGAAATATGTAATAAAAATGAAAGAGAAATTAAATGACGTTAATTATCAGATCATTTAATACATATATATATATATATATATATATATATATACATACACATTTAAAAAAAGTAAATGAGAAAAGAAAAGAAAAAATAATATATTTACAAATGCAAATGGTCTAGAATCGCAATAACATGAAATTACTCTTATTTTATTAAAAATTTTTCACTTTTTCTTACGTTATTAATTATATACATAATATAGTGAAATGATTCTATCAATTATAGATTAGAAGAAAATTCATTTGTATTACATCATGGCAATTGAAATAACTTAAAATTTCAAGATTTTGATCAAAGCCAATACAAGTAAGAATAAAATATAACAGTGCTTTTTTTATCCACGAAATAAGATAAAAAAAAAATAAAAATTTATTATATTTTCTATACATTCTCTATCTTTTATTAAAATGTTGAAAAGAGTCAACTATCATGTATGTATTATTTTATATTATTTTTTTTTGATATTATTACTTTTTCTTTGTTATTGATAACTAATGAATATTTATATTTTATATTGCAATATTTTTGATTGTAATTGCTTTAATAAAAAGATAATCAATAATAAGTTACAGATGTAATAATTAAAAGTGAAAAGAATATGATCATATCGCTACGTCTATGGCGGATCACTTTAATGCCATCTATTGGGATTACGACTAACCAACTAGATTGATGAGATTCTACAATTTGTTGTGTGGAAAGTATCGCAAGCAATCTTTTTGTTTGCATTCACGTTTGACGGTTAAAGGTAGAATCACGTATGTTTGAAAATTGACTGTTACATGTCTAGTGGCAATCACGCCTTTATAGAAATCATCAAACTAACGTAATCATTAATATTTCCTTTCTATTAACAATTCGTTTAAAACAGGCTATATAAGGAAATACAAAACGAATTCATTGAAGAATCTAACGAGCTCTGTGAAGGGACCTTTTTTTAACGTCTTCTCAAAAGGTGAGTACCACTTACAGAGCAACGGTTTATATCATTCATTACGTCTTCTAAGACTCTTTCATACAAATATTTTTACGTTATAAAATGTCGTCAACGTGTATGTACAACGTAAAAACATTGTCTTGCAATTGTGATATTAATAATTTTTTTTTTTTTTTTTTTTTTAACAAATAAATTTCAAATTTATCCCTTCAATATTCGAACATACTTGATATTAATTTACAACATTGTTCCATTTAATTTTATCTATAATTATCTTCCTATTTTCAACTTAATATCAAATTTTGGAATATCTCCAAAATACAATATGATCTTATGTTCATTGATTTTTTTTTATATTCTTGTATGTATATTAACAAATAATAATTCATTTATATTGTAAAATAAGAATATCTTTTTTTTATGATTAATTACAATGTAGATATATAAATTTCTCAATGTGACACAAAACAAAGTAATTATTTAAGAATTTTTAGACATATTTTGTTTTTTAAGATAGATACATTTAGAAGATAATTTTCATCATGAAAATATATTTTATATGTCATAAATATATAGAAGTTACTTCAAATAAATATTAACAAACGTAACATTTAATATGAAATAAAAGAAATTAATTAATACGTACGAAGACAAAAATTAAGAATTATGATTATGCATTCAACATCATCTTAGAAATATGAGTAATATTCTCATTTTTATTTCATATATTTTTATTGCATTTTTCTATTTTATATTAAATGCTACTTTTGAAAATATTTATTAGAAAAGACTTCTTATATTATATTAATAGAATACAAAATATATATTCATTGAAAAATCATTCTTTGGACATATCTATCTCATAAAGCAAAATATATTTGAAAGTTTTGGAAAAATTCATTTGTTTATTAACTTTTGTTATATATGCAGTATCATATTTCAAAATTTATAACTTATACAGAATGGGGATTTCATATAATGATTGGTTTTAAAACAACTATTATCTAAATCTTTATATTACAGAAATTCATTTAGAACAAGTTAAATATAATGCAAATAAAAATTGTTACCGTGCAAACTAGAGACAATATCGAATCTTGAATTTCTTTATATCCTATCTTTATTATAACCATCTATAATTCTTTTTATACATTTACACAGTTTTCATTTTAAATGTATAACTATTATGATATACTTGTATCTCTTTACAATTGAAACTTATATTCAAAATGTAATGCAAAAGCTCCTAATATCCTGTAATTATTTTAAAGTAAGAAAAAAACATAATAGTTCTTTATTTATAAACAATCGATGCAAACAGTACATTGGTGCAGCATGTTTTATACTAATTAATATTATGTTAAAAGTCAGAGATAACCTTAATTACATATGTTACTTGGTTCTTCTTTCTTAACCTTTTTTTTTCATTCATGTCGATTCTTATTCTTAGAGTCTAACGTAATATAACTTCGTATATACATTATGATATTATTATACTAAAAAATTGTTAGTTTCAAATGCGACTATAAGAATTCTCGAACAGATGAACACATGCATAAAACATATGTAAAAGAGAAACCCTCTTGTTCTCCCTGCCCTAACTACTGTACTGAGCAGATCGATTATTTGATATACATATGCATTCATAAAAATTGCAAAGAAAACATACGATTTCCTTACAATAGAACGTAGTCATTCAGTTACTAAAAGTCAAACAAAAGGAAAAATATTCAATAAAAATTTGCCGAACAAAAGGCATAACGATTTCAGTTTATGATAATCCCTTCCATCTATGCTTTGTATTATCTTTTTAGTATCCTTTGTATGGATATATTTTTTAGCGCCATTTTCAAATTAAATATGATTCTCAATTTACAAACAAGCATTGGATTTTTATTAATTATGACCATTATAAAATGATAATAATTAATTGAAAATTATATTTGTTCACAGAATTGTTGGAAAATGAATTTTTTCAAATGACCATCTTTGAATTCATATGATAGGTTAATATCATATATCATAATCGTTTCATAGGTTAAAATTTTAATCGACTCTGAAAAAATTGTTCTTTATTTTTTTTTTTCCCCTTAATAAATTACATAAAGATTAATCTAATAATAATTTATTAGTAAAATGCTGACATTTTTTTTTTCCTGACGTACAGTAATGCATCTCCTTATTGCGGTCGCGCGAATGATCACGTGACTACGTTATATTTCGCTACTGTGTGATGCAAGGAAGAATCCTTATTGAAAAGACTACTAAGCAATATGATATATATAGTACATCTATTAGTCATTAGTTGTAAAGATGAATATACATCTTAAGTATTCATGTTGAAATTATCATAATTGATATTATAATTAATCAGGTCCCAAAATATGGAGCAAGATACGGAGTATGTAAAATTGCCATTAGAAGAGCGTTGTGTACATAAGGTATTAATACTAATATTTATTTTTATTAATATATTGATATAAACAATATATTTATTTGTTTCTTTTTTTTTTTTTTTTTTTCTCTTTATTTTTCTTGTTTATAGTCATGGAGAGCAAGATTACATGGATATGAAGAATGTGTAAAAACATTTCAATGCATAGACGATGAAAAATCGCCAGAATGGAATAAATTTTTAGGCTTTGTTAAAAAGTTTGTATTGGATAGTAATGCTGCGGCACAAGAGAAAGGCTTAGAGGCAGTGTTAGCTTTTGTAGAAAATGCAGCTGTTGCAGGAAAGTAAGTTATAAATATTTTGCAAAATAAAAATAATTTTATGATAATGTAATGAAAGATTTAATATCATTTTAAATGATAATTTATTCCTTCTATTTTTACATTATATTATATATTTTTAGAACGGTTGGTGAAGTTATGAATGGTATAGTGACTAAATGTATTGCTGCACCTAAAGCTAAAACGAAAGATTTAGCAGTGCAAATAACATTAATGTATATAGAAATAGAAAAACATGAAACAGTACAAGAAGAGTTACTGAAAGGAACAGAGGCAAAAAATCCAAAAATTGTATCTGCATGTATTGCTGCTTTGACTCTTAGTCTAAGGTAAATTAAAAATTAAATTAAAAATCAAAAATATTGTTGCATAACATCTATGATAGATGTTTAACATTTAGTTAAATTTTATATCCGACAGTGAATTTGGATCAAAAGTTATTAATGTCAAGCCTCTAATAAAGAAGATACCTAGTTTTTTAGAAGATAGAGATAAAATGGTTAGAGAAGAAGGTAAAGCATTGGTCATTGAAATGTACAGGTATGTAGAAAAATTAATAGTTTTTAATATTTTATGTATTCTTTTATAATTCTTATATGTTAATATGTTTGTATGAAATAACAATACAGATGGATAGGTATTCCATTGAAGCAACAATTGAATACTTTAAAACCAGTACACATTACAGAATTAGAGACAGAATTTAATAATTTAGGAAATGAAAAAGCTGTACCTAAACGTTACTTAAAATCACAAAAACCAAAAACAACATGTGTTAGCGATCCAATAATGGGTGACGATAGTGAAGGTAATCTGTTCATTTATTTTTAATTTTATCAAGTT